ATTGCTCGGAAACTTAAATGATCAACTTGAAACATAGATGAGGAGGCCCGAAATGACATGGGCCGGATATGACCCGCAAACACGACATCCGGTCCGTGCAGATGGGTCAAGCCCATAGAGAGACACTGCCATATGGGCCGAGCGCGAATAGCCCATCAAAGATGACCAAAACTAACAGAGGAACGGGCCTAGATCTAGCAGTACATTAATGTTTGTAAGTATCTATAAATAGGAGAAGTAATGGATAGAGGAGGAGGAGGAGAGATATTTTTCTGTTGAAGTGTAAGAGTTCTAGAGAGAGAAAGAAAAAACGAATTTCTTGCATCTTCAATTGGCGCCGTCTGTGGGGAGCGTGGAAGATTGATTGATCATTGATCAATATCGCGTGGATTCAGACCAATTCGTGGAAACGAAACTCGATCTTTGGGAGTTGGATCCAGATCTGAGCGATTGTGACCTACTCTGGAGGAATTTTAGTTCCTGTTGCTTTAGCGGAAGTGGCTTCAGATCTACGCAACAACTAGTTGTTCGAATTTGACGGATTTAGAATTCGGACAATTCAGATCTCGTCAACCGCAAGCATAATTCGGAGAATTCAAAACCAGATCTGAAAAATTCGCACTCACGAAGCTCAGATCTACTCACGAACTTGAGATTAATGCCTTTACTCCATTCAGGAATAATGATAGGTGAAAGCTCCAATCCGATGGAGGCTGTCCAGCAAACGAATCTTGAGGAGTTGATGAACTTGATCGAAGCTCTCAAAAAAGAGACTGCAGAATTGAAAGCTGGAATGCAACATCAGCAAATACCCGCGGTTTCGCGTCCACTTCCGGCCGGTGAAGGAGGTGTTCAATCTAATATCGCGCATCAAGGCGAGCAGGACGAGAACAATCACTCAGCTCTCCACCGTGATGAAAGGAGGATGGACGATTTGCCGCCAAATGTTCGTCGAGTTGAGGATCACGAAGGATCGACTCACGTTGATCCGCGACATGAGCAGATCAGACAGAACCAAGCCATGACCTTCGATCCGCATCGGGAAAGGTTCAACCGAGAGGAAGTGATAGAGGTTGATCGCCGCCGAGTTGTGTCGCCTTGGCAAAGAGAGCTCATAGAGGAACGGTCGTTCGATCCGTCTTACCGGCCCTCCATGGCTACAATCACTCATCGCGGTTCGGAGAGCAGAGCCGTAGCTCACAGAGCTACCACTGGGCTCTAGAGAGAGAATGAAGCACTCCGATCCGAGGCTCGGACGGTTGATTCACCATTCACTGACGAGATCCTGAATGCCCCGCATCCAAGGAAGTTTGCTATGCCAGTCTTTATTCTGTTTGACGGAACAACCGATCCGATCGATCATGTGTACCATATCCAGTTGAATATGGCCCTGAATACGGAAAACGACGCTTTAATGTGCAAATGTTTCCCTACAAGCCTAGCTGGACCGGCGCTCAGCTGGTTCAAGAACTTGCCTAGGAGCTCCATTGGTAGTTTCCGAAACCTGTGCGATCGGTTCATAAGCCAGTACTATGGGAACAAGCGTCTGTCGAAGGACATCTCGAGCCTATTCACAATGAGACAGCATAAAGATGAACGTCTCCAGGCTTTTCTCACCAGGTTTAATCTCACTAAGAGTATGGTGATCGAATGCCACCTTTCTACAGCGGTTCAAGCCTTCAAGTTAGCCATGACACGTGGCACTCCGTTCCATACCAGTCTGGTAGTGAACACGCCGACGACTATGGATGAACTCAATGAAAGAGCCGATGGCTTTGTGCGCCTAGAAGAAGAGGAGGCAGCCAATGCTCGGACAGCGTCGGTCGTGTCGACCGAGGAAAAGTCCAAGGCAAAGATCAGGCAGAAGCAGGCTCAGCCGCAACGCCAGACCTCCTGGAAGGCAGAAAAGAGGTCCAGGGAGGAAGAGCTGATCACTCCGCTGAAGGTCACTCTGGCGAGGCTATATCAGGAGAACAAAGATAAATTTCATCCACCACTGCCAATTAGGCAACCCCTCGAACAGAGGGATCAGACTAAACATTGTGCTTTCCATTCCGATTTCGGTCATCAGACTAACGAATGCAGGAATTTGAGAAGGCAAGTGGAGATGTTGATAGCTAGAGGGGAGTTCGCGAGTTATGTTCAAGGCTCGGCGATAGAGCAGAATCGACCGATGGAACAAGTAAAAAGGAGTCATAAACAAAGCTCCCACAATTCACAACCAGTTCGTATAATCAATGCTATCCACGGTCGACCCGAGCCCAGCGAAGATTCAGATGAGCTACTCCGAGCGCGCCTACGGCAGGCGCAGATGAAGAAAAGGGTCAGCAGTGTGAATACTCTGCACCAACAGATTACATCGATACAGATAAAGTTCGACAGGACAGACCTACAGCGTGTTCAAGTCCCCCATGAAGACCCGTTGGTAGTCAGCTTGACAGTGGCGGACTGCCTGGTGCGCAGAGTTCTGATCGATCCCGGAAGCAGTGCGAATGTCATGCCGAGGGACACATTTGATCGGCTCGAGATTAAACCAGAGAGGCTCAAGCCCACCGATGGCAAGAGGGTGGAGCCCGTCGGAATGGTGGAAGTAGAAGTTCAGGCTGCAGAACGAGTTCTTATGGAAACTTTTGTGGTTGTGGAGATTCACCCCTCGTACAATCTCCTGATGGGAAGAGGATGGATTCACAGAGTCCAAGGTGTACCCTCAACTCTGCATCAGGTCATGAGGTGCCTCGGACCCGATGGAAATAAGGTGATAGACATTCGTGGGGATCAGGTTGCAGCCAAAGAGTGTTATTCCGTCACACTAAAGTATGCTGGGAAAGGGAAGGCGCCCGTCCGATCGGCGAGCCCCAGATAGCAATTACAGGAACCTCCGCCTAAGCAGAATAGGGTAGAGGAGTCAGTTGACTTGACCGAAGAGCCCCTTTTGGATATGCAGATCGATCAGTTCAGGCCAGAGCGAACTACCAGAGTAGGAGTAAGACTGACCAGGGAAGAGCAGCAAGAGCTAATTGACTTCTTGTCTCATAATGCCGATGTATTTGCATGGAGTCACCTAGACATGCCTGGAATTAATCCCTCCGTATCCTGTCATTCCTTGAATGTCAATCCCAATTTCAAACCAATAAAACAGAAGCAACGAAGATTTGCTCCAGAACGTAACCAAATCATAGCCGAGGAAGTTGATAGGCTGCTTGATGCGGGATTCATCAGAGAAGTGCACTACCCTGATTGGTTGTCCAACGTTGTTGTCGTGCAGAAGAAGAATGGGAAATGGCGAGTATGCATTGATTTCACCAATTTGAACAAAGCCTGTCCGAAGGATAGCTTCCCGCTGCCAAAGATTGATCAAATGGTGGATGCCACCACCGAGTATGAGCGTTTAACCTTTCTGGACGCTTATTCAGGTTATAATCAGATCCCTATGGACCCGGCAGATGAAGAAAAAACTTCTTTTGTAACCGAGCGAGGGACATACTGCTACAAAGTTATGCCTTTCGGACTAAAGAACGCGGGAGCAACTTATCAAAGACTTGTTAGCAAAATTTTCAAGGATCAAATAGGAAAGATTGTGGAAGCCTATATTGATGATATGGTGGTAAAGAGTAGGAAGAAGGATGATCATCTGAAACATCTGCAAGATGTATTTGATGTGCTGAGGCGATATGGGATGAGGCTCAATCCAACCAAGTGCTCGTTCGGTGTGAGTTCCAGTCAGTTTTTGGGACACGTGGTCAACCGCAGAGGCATCGAAGTTAGCCCCGCTCAAGCAGAGGCTTTGATTAAGAATGCCGAGCCAAAGACGATCAGAGAGGTGCAAGCCCTCACAGGACGAATAGCTGCATTAAGTCGATTCATTTCTAAGTTGTCAAATCGCTGCAAGCCGTTCTTTGACACGATTCGGAGTCATGGAAGACAGGTCTGGGGAGATGAGCAACGACAAGCATTGACCCATTTGAAGGAATACATGCAGAATCCACCAGTCCTGTCAGCCCCGGATCCAGAAGAAAAGTTATTTCTATATCTTGGAGTATCTAGTGTTGCAAAAAGTGCCGTTCTGATTCGTTGCAAGGAAGGGGTGCAACACCCAGTATTTTATATCAGTAAAACAATGACCGAGGCAGAACGAAGATACTCGAAGGCCGAACGGGTGATACTTTCACTTGTAAACGCAAAAAGAAAGTTGAGGCATTATTTCAAATCCCACCCTATAGCTGTTCTAACAACTTTTCCAATCAGAGTACTTATGCACAAGCCAGAACTCTCGGGCAAAATGACAAAGTGGGCCATAGAGTTAAGTTCATTTGACATAACGTATGAGCCGAGAACAGCTGTCAAAGGACAAGCGGTAGCCGATTTCCTGCTATAATGTGACTCTGAGGATACGGAAGAAGACCTTAGGTGCGACTCTTGGAAACTTTATGTGGATGGCTCCTCTAACCAGATAGGGGCAGGAATTGGGGTTAAACTGCAAACCCCAGAGGGTACTTCTTTGAGTCAAGCACTCAGACTTGAGTTCCAAGCCACCAATAATGAAGCGGAATACGAGGCGTTGCTGAATGGGTTAAAGTTGGCCAGAGAGCTACAGGTCAGAAGTTTGACTGTTTATAGTGACTCACAGTTGATTGTTCGGCAGGTAAATGGTGAGTACGCGACCAAGGATGACACGATGGAGGCATATCGTTCTGCCGTTCTGCATAAAGCCAAGGACTTTGCAAAGATTGAATTCATACAGTTACCGAGGGAACAGAACGCAGAGGCGGACCGGTTAGCATGTAGTGCTTCGAGTTCTGGCGAGACATTGGCGAGGGTGATTCCAATAGGAATATTGACCCAGCCATCTATTTTCGAAGAACCTTTGGACTCTGACCCTTGGCAAGTCAATGTCATACCGTATGAACCGAGTTGGATTGACCCTATCATCACTTATATTCGAGATGGCGTTTTGCCTATGCAAAGGGTCATAGCTAGGAAAATCAAAAAGAATGCTGCAAAATACGCCATCGTGCATAACCAGCTGTACAGAAGGTCCTACTCTGGCCTATACTTGAAGTGTGTCACCCCCGCAGAGTCGCAGCAGGTGTTGCGAGCTATTCATGAAGGCGTATGTGGCAATCATTCTAGGGGAAGATCGTTAGCGCATAAAGCAATGACACAAGGGTATTTCTGGCCGAACATGTCAAGAGATGCAGAGGAGTTCTCTCGAAGGTGCGATAAATGCCAACGATATGGACCATTGATCCACCAACCACCTGAGGAATTGCACGTAATGGCCTCGCCATGGCCTTTCGCGCAATGGGGGATGGATGTGGTCGGTCCTCTGCCAACGGCAAGAGCTCAGAATAAGTATGTGCTACTGGCCACGGATTACTTCACTAAGTAGGTGGAAGCAGAACCATATCCAAGCGTGACTCAGACTCATGTGAGACGATTTATTTGGAGTAATATTATTTGCCGTTTCGGCGTTCCAAGGTCAATAGTCATGGATAATGGCACGAACCTCGACAGCAAACAAGTAAGAGAGCTGCTGGAGGAGTATGGAATTAATCAGAAGTTGGCTGCAGTAAGTCATCCCCAGGCCAATGGACAAGCAGAAATTACAAACAGAACAATTTTCGCCTGCATTAAGAAGAAGCTGGAGGACCATAAAGGGAAGTGGTTGGATGAGCTCCCGAACGTCCTATGGGCTTACAGAACCACCCCAAGGCGGCCGACTGGGGAGAGCCCGTTTGCAATGGCATATGGTACTGAGGCGGTTATACCGGTTAAGCACTTGGTCCCAACTATCAGAAGCTTAGCATGGAGTCGAAATCAGAACGACAGAATGTTAAGATTGAACCTCGATATGATAGACGAAAAGAGGGACGCTGCAGCAATAAGGTTAGCATCATACCAGCAAGTATTGGCGAATAGTCACAACAAAAGAGTGAAACACAGAGATTTTGCCCCTGGCGATCTGGTTTGGAAAAGAAAGGTAGGGATAGTCAAAAAAATGATGCCACCCTGGGAAGGCCTATACAGAATTGCAGAAGTCATAGGGAAGGGAGCATATACGTTAGAGACCATGGCGGGAAGATTGGTCAGCAAGCCCTGAAATGCTACGTCTCTGAAGAGGTACTACCAATAAAAGCTAAGTTTCGGCTTTATTGGGTGTTGTTTGTTGTCAATCAAGTACGTATGAATGTGCAAATTCCTGAAATTTATAAAAATAGCTTTCCTTTTCAAAGGGTTTTAAAAAAATGAAAAGCCAAGTGGCAAGCACTGCCAAAAACACGCACACGACAAAGTTAATATAAAAAATATATATATATATTGAAAATGGGTTTGAACAGAGCGTAGCACAAAGAAAAAAGAGAAAAAAGAGTTCTGTCATCTCATTTATAATAAGCATTGGAGTTACAAAAAGTGAAGTATTCAAGTCACATTGTTACAAAAGAGTATGGAATCGAAGAGTCTGGAGGAGTCCTAGCTAGCTGCCTCAGTACCGACAGCCTCCTGGTTGTGCTGATCCGCTTCCTCGGTCTCGTCAGCCATCTCACCCTCACGAGGTGGGGAATCAAGATGAATAACAGAGTCATTCTGCTGGGGGCCAACGTCAGCAGTGACTATAGGAGATACCACAGTTGACGAATGAAGAGCGGTTATAGGCTGAACGGTAGGAGGAGCTGTAGTGATCCTAGAGGAAGCAATCTCCTGACATTCATCAAATATGTGCTCGGCTTCGGTGGGTTCTGGGTCAACATAGACCCCCAGATGATCAATCCCCAAATCCTTATCAATCTCATCCGGAGTTGAGCTAGTCTGTCCCTCAGCCGGAACTCGGTCGGAGAAACCATCTCGGAATCCCTGAGTATATCTAAGAGCTCCGACTCTTGAGAATCGAGCATGAAGAGCCAGCATTCCACCATTCACTCTGCTGATGGTATCAATCAGAGCGTTGCGCTCGTCCAGAGCTCTTTTCTCAAAAGCCATCTGAGCAGACTGTTCATCAGCCAGAAGGCGCTGGAGCTCTGCCTTTTCGTCTCTGATTGAATCACGTTCAGTCTGCCAGACACTCTTCTCAAGCTGGAGGGCATCCTTCTCATCCTGAAGAGAGTCGTTTTCCTTCTTCAGTACATCTCTTTCTTTTTCGGTTTCTTCAAGCCGAGCCAATATCTCGGTATTCTTGCTGGCGAGAAGGTCGTTTTCCTTATTAGCCACATCCAGGCTATCAGAGAACTTACGGGCCCTGGCGTTCCCCATTTCCACCTGCTTCTGCATAGCCATCATACCGAACAAAGTCTGCATAGATATACATGAATACTAGTTAAACCGATAGCCTGGTCGGACGAAGGCAAGACCAAATAGTATGAGAGGATTCATGAGTTAGAAAATAAAAGTCACCTCCATGGCAGATTGGGGAAAGCGACTGAACACATCCTTTTGGGACAGACCATTCGCCGCCTCAAGGTCTTTCGGAGTCCACATGCTCCTATAATACGCCATGGCGGTCTGGCCATCCTTTAACATGGTCTCGTTCGGCTTCACGAACGTCCCATCCGTTCGGGTGTACCGAGGAGCCCATGGTGGTAAAACAGGAATAGAAGGAGAAGCTGAAGCAGAAGCAGAGGCACCAGCTGCAACAGGCCCGGAGGGGGCAGGAGCTCTGACTGGGCGATGCAAGAGAGCACTCGGCCCAGAGACTCGGGTCCTTCTTATAAGAGGTTCTTCCTCAAGGTTGACTCCACCGTCAGGATGAGGCCTTTTGCCTCGTTCTTTGTCCCGAGCACTGATCGGTTGGTCAATCATACATCAACCTTCGCAATAGCACGAATCATTGTAAAATAGGGCTATTGGTCGAGTAAGTCGAACCACTGGGACTGCGCTAGTCTAAGGCAACCTAAATGTCTAGAATCATTCTTAGAATGATAAGGGGTAATAAGGGTTTGTTTGTTTGTCACTAAACTAGAAATGTAAAGATGCATAAACTAGTAGATTGCAAGGAATGTAAAGAAGTGAGATACAAGTAGAAAAGACTAGGGAGATGAATCCATTACCTACTCTATTAACATGCTAGTATGTGGTTAACTTGGGAAACAAATTAGATATATGGCAATGATATGTAGCAATACAAAATTACTACACTATCTCCAAGAATTTCATAGAATCAAGATTTAAGCATAATCCCTCAAAGTTATACATGCTTGACTACCTAAATGAAATTGTAACTTCACATATTCACTAAGCTAGGGACTATCAAACCCCTCAATAACTATGATGATAGCACATGGAGCTAAGAATCAAGAATAAATCCATCAAAGGGGGACCCTAAGCTATGGACTAACAACATTCTCAAATACATGCCAATTAAAACACTTTCACAATCTTGTTTCCATTGTCACTATGGAAATGAAAGCAATACAACCATGAGAACATACACTCTAAGAGAAGATAATATATTCAACATGATCATTTATAAGAGTTTATGTTCATTACATCAAATACAAGCTCTAGACCATGGAAGTGCTATATATATACATATTTCCCAAGATTAAACCAAAACTAAGACATGCTTACAAAGTAGGGCTTCATCACCTCCCTAGATAGGGAGTTAGTTACCCATTGCCAAGCTAGAAGAAGGAAAAAGCTCCATCTTCATGGCCATTTTCGTGCAACCTTCTTGGAGCTTGAAAAACACCTTTCTTGCTCTCTTCTCTCTCGTCTATCTTCCCAAAAATGAAGCTTAATGTAAATGTATGGCTCTCCCCTCTTTATCTAGATAAGAAATCCACCCAAAAAGCCCTCTCTCCTCCAAGAAACATCCCCAACCAACTCATAAAGGAGGGCTTCCAAAGTAGGTAAAATCTGAGCACAAGTGGGCTGAGTCGTGTAGAATTCTGCCCTAATTTCGAGTGCTCGAAATAGGGCCTCGAGCACTCAAAAATTGGGCAGAATGCCCTATGCTTGGTTTGCTCCGCCCGGATCTACTTTGGTAAAATGGCCATAACTTTGCGCTCCGAACTCCGAATGATGAACCGTTTGAAGATTTAGAAAGCTGATTCAGAGCTCTAAATTCAGCCTTGTGCCTTTTGATGGTCTAAAATCCACAAAGTCTTATTTGTACTCCTTTTTGGCAAAAGGACCTGAAAATATATACAAACACACAAATGGGGATAATCTACATAAAATAAGCAAACAATGGACTTAAATAATGCAATTAAGGGCACTTGAATATGCAATATTTGGTGCTTATCACACCCCCAAGCTTACATTTTGCTAGTCCCTTAGCAAAACTAGAATGAAAAACTTAATGAAAAGACAACCATGGGCATGCTACTACAAAAATATCATCCATGGTAAAATGAGATATATATATAGCTCAAAAATAACTTGAAACAGAAAAAGAGCTGGAGATGGGGTCATTGGGAAGACTACCTTGCATATATGAAGCATTGATACTAAACACATTTCAACATGCATGCATCAACATCATAGTCCATATAAATAACTCAATTGTCATCTCTTAAATGGAAATCAACTCTAACTTCAGTGAAAGTGGATTGGATTCTCAACATGCAGCTTTTACTTTCTTTTCCAATTTCCAAGCACAAGTTTTCAAATCATTGAATTCCCCTTTAAATGAGGTCCCTAAGGCATGATTTTACTTACAAGACAACTTTTGTTGCTTGTTGACAATTTATTGCAACTCGTAAGCGAAACATAGAATGGTTGTGCAATGCTAAAGTCCCTTAAGCTTTCTAACCAACCTATGTAGCAAGCGTTAGGCTAACAACTCCCAAACCAGATGGCTTTAGGGTGTTAAGTGTAGAGACACTCCAAAGGGCTTAATAGCTCAAGTTGGAAAGGCTATGAACTCTAGCGAACTATGTTTATTACAATTTTTTTGAATGACCGTGCAATGTTTAAGTCCTTTAAGCTTTCTAACCAACCCTTGTAGCAAGCGTTAGGCCAACCACTCCCAAACCAGACGGCTTTAGAGTACTAAGTGTAGAGACACTCCTAGGGCTTAATAGCTCGAGTTGGAAAGGTTACGAACGTCAACTGGTCATTTTTTTCTTTCTTTCTCAGTGTTTTTTTTTTTTTTTTTTTTTTTTTTTTTTTTTTTTTTTCAACTTAAATCATGCCAAAGATATTCATCTATCAGGTTCATCAAATCAGATTAACTAGGCCAAGGTCAAGGTTGATCAAGTTGCATGCCTCACAGTTAAGTTTTTAATGTGCATCTGTGCATTGTGAAGCTTATAAGAGTGTAAATCCAGTAAAAATCTAATTGAGACATTTATACAGACTAATTTGAATCTACATGATCATTTCAACTCAAATTTTTCTTTATTTTCAAAAATGTCAATTGCTTCTATACACAAGGTATTAAACATATGCTTCATCTCCGACAAGTGTCAAGTTATACTATCATTGCTTAGCAAAAATTATGAAACCAAAAATGCATAAATGCACCCCAAAACTTAAATGTCACATTGTCCTCAATGTGAGAAGACAAGTAAATCAAAATAAGAGCAAAAAGGGGGGAAAGGAACAATAATACCAAGTGGAGTGACAAAGGCGAAGATGTTCAACTATGTGAGTGCGCAACTGCGTCCCCCAAACTTGGACATGAAGACCTATCAAAATACAACTAAAATATACATGTAAAAGCATAGGTCTCTTAAGAAAAACGGGAACAGAAAAAATAATATGAACATGAATGTTATTGAAAGATAGAAATCTATACAAAAACATAAATTGGCACACATTAGCCACAAGTTTAAAATGGATAGCAAAAGAATGCCAAAAGTATGCCATTTTACTCTTCTTCTTTTTTTTTTCACTTTTTTTTATTTTATTTATATGAAAACATGCATGAGGGTTGGATGTGTGGGGGGTTGTGGGGGGTGTTGGAGTGAGGATAGTTGATGGAGGAGTTGCCGAGAGTTGGTTGGGTTGGGGTGAGGATGGTTAAGGTTTTGGAGGAGGGTGGTGTGAACCGAGAGGAGTGATGGGGTTGGGTTGCTTGGTGTGGGTAGGTTGGTGGCAGGGTGGTGGTTAGTTGGCATGCAGGGGTGGTTGCATGCTTGGGTTGGCCTGGATGAGATGGCCGAGAGGAAGAGAATGCGATGAGGGTGAGGCAACGAGTGCTCGGGGCGTTGGCATGAGGTGTTCGAGCACTCGCTAGGGGGAGCTCGAGTGCTCGAAATGGAGCCAGTAGGTTCGGTATGTTGGGGTTGGCTATGGAGAGAGAAAGAAGGTGGAGTTCGAGCACTCCAAATAGGATCGACGAGTGCTCGAACTGAGAGCAGTGAGTTGGGTGGGTTGGTGCATGAAATTCGAGCACTCAAACTAGAATTTAGAGTGCTCAAAAATGGCTCAGTAGGCTAGGGGGTGAGCTCAGCTGTGAGAACTGAAATTTGGAGCAATCCAAATGGAATTTAGAGCGCTCTAAAATTGGGCAGTGGTGCATGCAAGATTGGTTCACAATTGGAGCACTCTAAAATGGAGCTAGATTGCTCGAAATGAAGGCAGTGACTTCGGCAAGTTGGTGTGGTAATTTGGAGTAATCCAAATAGAAGCTAGAGTGCTCCAAAAATGGGCAGTGAGCTTGGGATTGATGGTGAAGACATTTGGAACAATCCAAATGGAATTTAGAGTGCTCCAAAATGGGTAGTAGCTCATGGAATTTTGGTTAGATCATTCAAGCATTAGAATCTTGGCCCAATGAGCATTTTGAGTGGATGCAATTGCTGAAACAAATGTGTCAAACTTTGCAACATCTTGCTAATGCATGAATATAATTGGAAAAATTTTCAAAATGTAACACCTTTCCAATGCATGGATGATTTTGAGAAAATTTTCAAGCCTTGGAACATCTCTTCAATGCATGGATGGGATTTGGTCTCTTCAAATGCATGGATGAATGTAGGAGAAAATTTTTAAACCTTGCAAATTCATTCCATTCCAAAGCATGAAAAATTTTGGAGAACCATGATCCAACAATGCATTGAAAATGAGAGGTTGTACACATGAGTTGCATGCCAAAGATCCTATAAAATTGCTAGAAAGCGATGGAAATTTTCGGGAATGAAAATTAGAGCTGAGAAGGTCTAAGAGGCCAGTCTAAAATTGCGGAACACAACTGAAGACCATTTCAGAAAAATCAAATTTTTGGCTTTTCTAAACCATTTCCCAAAAAATTTCAAGGCACGAGCAATTTGAGAAGGTAGGGAAGCTTGGAACATCAAAAGAATTTCTTCCCTTGCTTTGCTAAATTTAATGTCGATAGCTAGACGAACCAGGATCGGGATCCATTGGAGAGATGGATCCTTAACGCTCCGTATGCAACTTGCCTTCTTCATATGGTCTCAAACTTGGATCAATGAATGGTGAGGGATATTGATCCTTCCGAAGAGAAACAAGTTTGGCCTTAGAGGATTTGAGCATATCAAGTTTCAAAATCAACATGCCTTGAAAAACATTCATAGTCTATATTTTCATTGTCACTATGAAAATAAAAGCAATAAGATTGATCCAATAATCATCAAAGATATGACAATGAACTTACATCAACCATTTACACATTAAAATTCATTACAAGAAGGAATATGCTCTTAAACTATGAAACTTCCACACATTATACATTATAGTCCCCAAAAGTATAGCCTAATCTAGAACATGATCAAAAGAGGAGGCTTCATCACCTCCCTAGATGGAGGTTTAGCTCTCCATTGATACAAAAATGGAAGAAGAAGAAGAAGAAGAATACCACTTCATTTTCGAGCTCTACTGTAGCACTCAAGAACACTCTCCTCCTTGCTCTCTTCTCTCTCCTCTAATCTTGTAGAATCAAGCTTAATGTAAATGTATGGCTCTCCCCTCTTTATCTAGATAAGAAATCCACCCAAAAAGCCCTTTCTCTCCTCCAAGAAACATCCCCAACCAACTCATAAAGGAGGGCTTCCAAAGTAGGTAAAATCTAAGCACAAGTGGGCTGAGTCGTGTAGAATTCTGCCCTAATTTCGAGTGCTCGAAATAGGGCCTCGAGCACTCAAAAATTGGGCAAAATGCCCTATGCTTGGTTTGCTCCGCCCGGATCTACTTTGGTAAAATGGCCATAACTTTGCGCTCCGAACTCCGAATGATGAACCGTTTGAAGATTTAAAAAGCTGATTCAGAGCTCTAAAAACTTCATGTTTTGGTGGAGATCCAAATCTCAAGGATGGTTGGTCGAAAATAAAGATCAAGGCAGAATTTCATTGCTGCCAGGCAGTTCTGCGCACCTCTGGTAAAAAGGCCATAACTCTCTGCTCCGAGCTCCGAATGACAAACCGTTTGAAGATTTAGAAAGTTGATTCAGAGCTCTAAATCTTTCATGTTATGAGGGAAGTCCAGTTCTTGAGTTTGCTAGGTCGAAATGGCGAGCAAAGTCCTGACTCCACTGCTGCCAGAAATTCAGCCTTGTACCTTTTGATGGTCTAAAATCCACAAAGTCTTATTTGTACTCCTTTTGGCAAAAGGACCTGAAAATATATACAAACACACAAATGGGGATAATCTACATAAAATAAGCAAATAATGGACTTAAATAATGCAATTAAGGGCGCTTAAATATGCAAATTTGGCGCTTATCAAGCACCCCCAGCGGCAGCAGGGGTAGTAGTGATTTGTGGAGACGTGCTCGGGTTGGTAACAGGGGTGCTGACAACAGGATCAATAGCCACCGTACTCGGGATGGTGTCAGAGATGGTGGCTGAGGAAGAGGCTGATGCAGGAGAGGAGGTTGCTCCAGCAGCAGAAGTGGCTGGGGGAGTATTTTTCCTCCTACCAAAGGAAGGAATCTGAAGCCTGCTCATGGTATAGCCGAGGGATGAGAGCGCTAGAAGGTTGTCTGAAGTGAGGAGGTCTGAGCAAGAAGAAATACGTGCTGGGGGAGTATTTTTCCTCCTACCAAAGGAAGGAATCTGAAGCCTGCTCATGGTATAGCCGAGGGATGAGAGCGCTAGAAGGTTGTCTGAAGTGAGGAGGTCTGAGCAAGAAGGAATATCGTTCAAAACGTATTTCTTCAAGTAATTACTCCTATCCCTGCAAACACTGTAGCTCAAGTCATCACAAGGTATGCCTAAGGAGCGACATAAGAAAGTACAAAAGCGAGGAACACATGTTTCGCAGGGACAATCGTTTTTATGAGATTTGAATTTCTTATATGAGGAGACAGAACAAATGCCAAAGGCGCTCGGGATTGGGTAATCCTCTGCAGCCGGCGAGGACCAAGCCCCACTAACACCCACAATGTTATCCCTCCAACCCTTTTCAGACTTGATTGTATCCATACATATGGACATCTTGTCGATCGGGTAGAGGTGGTAGAATGGCTCGTTAGTTCAAATCTTACTGACCTTATAGCAAAGAAGAAGATCTATGAGGTCAAGGTCCAGACTTCTGTCACGAATCAACAGTAGCATAACGAATATGATTCTAAAGAAATTGGGGTTTACCTGCAGGGGGGATATCCCCAGTCTATTGAAAACATAATTAAAGAAGGGATACAGAGGGAACCTAACGACATTCAGTTGAAGGTTTGTAAATAAAACCTCACCGGGAAGAAGGCCGGCACCGGTCATAATATTAACATCCTTAGGGCAAACCCTAACCTGGATGTTGTCAGGAAGTCTAAGTCTCATACGAAGAACATCTAGATCTACAACCATGGTGGAAGCGATTGAAGGATCTAAAAGGGTAAAAAGAAGTCTGCCGAAAGTAAAAAGGAATAAAACTAACCTCTGTGGTAGAAAGCAACAAAGAGCAATGCAAGATCGCTGGAAGAATGACTCTTGAAGAATTTCACCGGAAGAAATGTAGCACTGTTCTAAAAGGATGAGCGAGAGATTTGACTGATGATGGAGACGGTAAAAAGGCATGAAGTGGCATTCTAGAGCCTTATAAAGGCAAGGTGGACCCGAGGGCCGAAGCGTCAGGAAGGCGAGAAATTCATCGAGCCCCGGAACATTGATTCCAGATCTGACCGTCCGTTCCCCCATATGGGTTTCTCGAGCCGTCAACATCATGATGAGACGCCATCAATAATTACCCCCTTATTAAACAAGGGGTAATTATGGGGGCAGTTGAGGAGGCCCGAAGTGACATGGGCCGAATATGACCCGCAAACACGACATACGGTCCATGCAGATGGGTCAAGCCCATAAAGAGACACTGCCATATGGGCCGAGCACGAATAGCCCATCAAAGATGACCAAAACTCACAGAGGAACGAGCCTAGATATAACAGTATATTAATGTTTGTAAGTATTTATAAATAAGAGAAGTAATGGATAGAGGAGGAGGAGAGATATTTTTCTGAGAAGAAATAAATAAAACAATAATTAAATCAATGAGAGTTTTGAGTTAAACTTATTTGAGTCTATTGAATCTTTGAATGAAAATATCATTCTAACCACTTACAAGTTTTCAAAGGATATCGAATTTTGGTGGAAGTCGGTCACAAATTAAGATTGAAGAAATGAGTTGGGATTTTTTAACTCTAATGCAATTTCAGCTCAGGAGATTTGCAAAAGAAATAAAAATTTCATTGTACAGAGAAACAAGAGTTGAGGAGTAATCTTTGATTCCGGTAATAAACCCTGTAAGTATAGCAAACTCAACAATGGAGGGCAGAGTTGGCATTTGATGGAATAAATTAAACCCAAATGAAGCAGTAAATGGAACTACTACTATATTAGTAGTAGAAACAGGTGATAATGGGTTTGGACAGAGAATAGAAACAATACACGTACCTCTTGAAGACAACAAGCAAGTACCGGATCGAATCCTTGGCCCATCTGAAACCAAGATCCAACCGGTCAAAAGCTGATCTGGTAATACAAGAGCCTTTTGGGAGGAAATCATGGTATATTGATTGATTCTCTCAACTGGGTTAGGGGCAGATCAAGATCCGATTGCACAGTGAATCGAATACCGAATCATGAGTTTAAGCTTCGACTCCTATCGGATCTCTTTTCCCTTTGAAAGCTTTTTGACTTATAGCCGCCAAAAAGATATGCTACCAAAGGGTTACTGAGAAAAATACCGGAGGAAATAGAAACCCAGAGACATGAGAAAGAACGAGGAAGTTGCTACACCCCGTGTCCCTTTATATAGTCCAATTTTACATTTCAGTTTTTAAAGCAACATCTTTTATCATGCTTTATTAAATGAGCAAAGAATGCATTTTCAAAATTACCCTTCTTAACAAATTTTTAATTTTCATTTACCCTTTTTTTTAAAAAATTTTAGCTGAACAAAAAGTCATTATATTTAATAAGTCCACTTATTTTGAAAATAGTATGAAAAAATTATTTTTAATATGATCCACTTAGTTTGAAATTTTAATTAATTTAATTTTTTAGGAATAAATTAAGAATGTAATAAAAATAATGTATTGATTTTTGAATGTGACAACAAAAATAAGACAGCAAAAAAAAATAATGGACTATTAATATGCAACAGATGGAATATTTTATATATATATGGTTTGCATTTCTTCATGTAGCAGCTACACAAAATAATTTTTTTAATATTTTATTTATTTAGAGGCTACATTATTGTGATTGGTAGCTGAAATCTACAGTTTCTTTTGGGTACGGAGATAAGCCGAAACCTTCCTGAACAAGTGTAGATTCATGAACTGAACAGTTTCCAGGTACATCACCAGTTGGGCAATAGCCTAGCTGGTACAAACTTGGTCCCATTCGAAATTTTGTGGACTTGAGCAATATTTTTCTAATTTTGGTTTGAGCTCTGAATCAAGTGATTATTGAGTCTATCTTCGTTAATTTTTCGTTGTTTATCCAATGATGTGCTCGATAGCACCCATAATTTTTAAAAAATTACCATTTTACCCCATTCAATTTTAACAGATTTATATAAATCGAATTGGATTAAATTTAATGCATAATCTCGGAGTAATAATTGTGAGATTGGGAAAGCTAAGTCAAAAAGGTCAAATGATACCTTTGGACACTAATAACCTACGAATAATCATGAATTAGGTCAAACTAAGTCACGATCGCCATAAAACAGCTTATACAAAGTTTAAAACTTAAAATGGAAGCGGCACGCAAAACGAGACGAGACCAAAATAAATAAATCAAAAAAAAAATCAAAAAAACCTAGAAAATGATAAATAAATAAATAAAAAATCAAAAACGCTACATCTCATTTGGTTTGAAATAATGGGTTACAACCGGTTATAGTTGGTACCTCGGGTAGACAAGGTGGCTTGACCCACAATGATAGACACATGGAATACCACAAAGATAGGGGTCTGGCTTTATTGTTTATGTTTGAACAAAGTTGGGTATGAATTAGAGGATGAGACTTGAGGTTCAGCAACTAAATTTAACCTAAATTTGAATTTGAATAATATTATTATATATATATTTAATATATTATGTATAATATTTAAATTATAATCGTTCTTTTTCTTTTCAACTTTTCTTATTTAAATATTAATTTATTCTATATTAATGTTTTGGATAATTAATTTTTTAAGAATTTGTTTGTAATTTTTTAAAAATTTGTTACTTAAATTTATTTTCTAATCTAAAACTAATTAAACATCACTTTAAATTTTTAATGCCAAGATTGACCATATCAATAACCCACTTTCTAATCTAACATCTCAACCCAAGTTGAAAATTTCAAGTATAGGGTGGGCTTGGGTTAAACAGTTAATATTAGAGGTAGTGTTAATGTTAGTGTTGCATGCAATCTTTTTGGTTGAAAGATAGAAAGTAAAGTCGTCCAAAAAAACCTTTTCTTTATGTATTTTTCAGTAAAATAGACATTCCTTCCAATTATGCATTTTCTCCTTTTAAAATAATAAAACTCATCATTTTAAATTTAAATGTGTATTATTAAGTTGAGAGATTTTTTTAAAAGTTAAGAGTAATTATGAAAAGAATGCTTTTAATTTGTTTTAAAAGAGAAATGAGACAAATAATTTAGGACATCTTTAAATATATATATATATATATAGTAATATACTAATATGAATATGAAACAGAGCCATTATATACTTCGATATCCAGTTTGAACTCTCTACCATAATGTTTTTTTTTTTTCAATTATTATTATTATTATTATTTTTTTTTCAAGATCAACAAAGTGCTACATGATTGTAAATAATAATCGAATCCATTATATTCCTTTCATGGAGTTCATTGAAATCAGTTGTTTCTAATTTTATTTGATGCCCTCCTTGAAAACTATTAAGGACATTATAAATTATTATTTATAATTTTATTAAACAAGATAGTTATAATATTAATTAATTTTTAATATTTTTACTAAAATTTTACAAAAAAGTCTTGCAAACATTCTAGTAATATTTTGTGTCATTACTCTCCGTCCTTACATTAAAATTAAAGTTTTTTCATATAACAAGAATTATCATCACATGCTATGATATATGACTATATGTGTGTGTATATATATATAGAGTATTAATTTTTTTTTACCAAAAAAAAAAAATAAGGTTGGACTTAAGTCACACAATCCTTCTTAACATGTATCGCTCTCACGTTCCGCGCATGCTCTCGCTCAAATTATCACTACTTGTGACTCTCATACTCCAACTCTCGAATTTGCTCTCGCTTTCACAACCGTTTTATGTGACTTAGAGTTGGACGCTTTGATTTTTTTTTTTTTGGTTAATTACAATGACACCCCCTGAGGTTTGTCATATTGACAGCCATATACAACATAACCCATTTTTGAACAAAGACACCCCCTAAGTTTACAAACTTGAACAATGACACCCCATTTTAAAAAAACGGAGCCAAACACATCCTTAAGTGATATGAAATGTCTAATATGCCATACGATATATTTTAATCCTCACCTAAAATGACCAAACTACCCTCTCATCTCCTCTCTATCTGTCGTTTCTCTTTCTGTCCAACTTGACCAAACACAGCCTTATAATTGAATAAAATATTTGACAAAAAAATGTGCTCTATAGATGTCCACCCAAAATGCACGGATGGTGAGGATGGGCTGGTTCGGGCAAGGTGGTGCCGGCGATGGGCTGTGGGGAGGACTCAACCGTGATGGCAGCGGCGGTGGACTCGGTCGTAGATGATAGCGAAGGCGGCTTGCGGCTGTGGAGAAGGCGAGGACCGTGGAGCAGTCGGCCGTGAAGAAGAAGATCGGTTTTGATGGAGGCGGTTGCGAGCTTGGTTTTGATGGCAGCTGACTCGGATGGTGGGGAGATGGGGACGGCAGACAGTTGGGCCGTGGGCGACGGCCTGGTTCGACTCAGAATGGCGATGGGCTTGTGAACCTCGACGTAGAGATGGGCTGGCTGTGACGGCGATGGGTTGGTTGCGGCTTCGGCTGTGAGCTTGCGGATGATGGTAGCGAGCTCTCTCAAACCCTGTACTTTCTCTCTCTCTAGCCTCTCTATGCTCCAAGCAAACAACGGCAAGAATGGAATGCGCCGGAAAATATGGAGTTCTCTCTACCCATCCACCATCATCACCACACATGCACCACCCTGTTATCTTTTTTGCAATTTTTTTTTTCACCCAAACCCTAGCTCCATCTATCTTCAAATTGACTCAATAATCTACATGACACTAACTGAAATATTGGAGCTTTGTTTCTAATCATCAAATAGACCATATATGACTCAAGGAGGGTAATAGATTGCGGCTGTGGATGGCTCGGATGAGGGTGACAGCGGGATGGTGAGGAGCTCGGCTGTGGGCTATGCGGGCTTTGATGCTCGGTGGGGAAGAAAGGCTCACAGGAATGGGAAGATGGAAAATTTGGAAGAAGGGATTTTTTGATTGAGGGTAATTTGGTCATTTTACATGGTTAAAGGGTAAACATGTACTTTCATCATATTTGGGGTATCATTGTTTAAGTTTGCAAACTTGAGGGGTGTTTTTGTCTAAAAAACCGCTAAATTGTATATAACTATCAATAGGGCAAACCTCAGGGGTGTCGTTGTAATTAACCCTTTTTTTTTTTTTTTTTTTTTTTTTCAAGATTGGTATTTTGTTATAGAAGACTTGTACGGCAGATTTTTTTTAACAAACCCACCAAGCTGTATTCGATTTATATCATCTCAGTAATAACGGATTGAAGAATAAATTGTAATTATAAATCAAGCATTGAAATAAGGAAGACCCTTATGTAAACCGATTGAATTTTGATTCGAATTTAACTCAATAACTCAAGGATTTAGTTCAAATTGAATATAAATTATGACTAATTCAATCTGATATAATTTTATGTTATATAATATTTACATATTATTAAACTATTATCATCATTATTTTTTCTCTTCTTCCCTCTTTTTAAAGAGTGACAATTCGTGTTCACAAGTCATATTCATGCCATGTCATGACATGAGGTATTATGTTATATGAATACGATATGATTATTAATTATGTTAAAAAAAATTGATAAAAATACGGTATAATTATTACACGTGTAGCCCATTTAATAGATGGGTAAGATGTGACAAGACACAAAATGATACGGCAAGACATATTTTTAAGTCATTTTAAACATGAACAGAACACAGTCATTTTTAACACACAATTATTTGACATATTTAGTTAAAATGGGTTACTCCACATTTTGTTAAAACGGGTCACTCGGGTTATAAACTAATTGGTGAGTTAATCATGAACTGTTTAATTATTGTATCAATTTATGTCCCGTTCTAGTCGTATTAGCAAGCGGGTCAAATATTGCCATTACTAATTTTTTTTGATATCTGTTTACAAACTGCTCGGTAATCAGATCGTGATCGTCTTTGCAATCCTTTGTTTCCCTTGGGCCTGGATACTGGATTTTGCCTTTCTTTATATTCTTAACATATATATATATATATATATATATATATAACAAGATCCAATCTTTAGTTTGATTTCACATGAGTGCCAGGTCCGGAGGCATGCGTTAGATGTCACGTTGAGCACCCAGTCTGGAGGCATCCGAATGAGAACTCCCAAATAAGCAGGCCGACCAAACCACAACAAAACATTGCAAGTTCGACTAAAGGAAAATGTTATAAAAGGAAACTTGTCCCACATCAGATCCAAATGGATAATTGAATGAGTATAAAAATGCTTTAGATGTTAATCCTCCTTAATATTTTAAGCTTTTTGATTGGATCACAAAACACCCACCCATTCATCTTAAGGCTATGTTAGGACCAAAAACATTTCTCATTTCCATACAACCAAGCTCATACCAGAACACAGAAACTAGTATAGAGGAAGAAATTATATTTTCTTGTTTGATTACCATGGAAAATCAGAGGAAAAATATATCAAACAAAATAAGAAATTATTAGTTTACATGTGATTCCCTTTTTCTTTCTATTAGTTCTGAACCACCAATCAGAGTGTCTTAAATCCATACCGTCAAGCATATAGTCTTAAATCCATACCGTAGCAACAATAGTCACAACAACAATGTTACGGGCGCCATGACATTATGATACATATTAAAAGAAACTGTTTCTTCTATCTATTGTCTAGAAGAAGAGCAAACGATCATCTAATGTTTGCCGAAAATGCCACCACCATAAGCAGATCTGATCATATCCCAATGTTGGTGCAATAGTAAAAACACTTACTAGCAACAATCCATGCTTTCTTCGGTCAAAAACAAGGTAAAGTGTGGCTCCAAAGTCTGTCATCACTACTATGGAGAAGAGCAGAGTTAATCTTTTGCATAAAAGGAGGTGAGGATGCCTTCTGTCCAAAAATAAGGTATAGTATGGCTCCAAAATCTATCATTATAGATACTATGGCAATGAATAGGGTTACTAGACCAAAAATTAATCTTTTGAGCTAGCTGTAATTTCTGCAAAATGTCCATAGATACTATAGTAGTATCTATGGAGATGAATAGGAGAGAAAATCAATAATTAATTTTTTGGGTAAGGTATAAAAAAAATCAATCACTCAAAAAGTGGGTATGAACAAGAACATATAATAAAGACTTTCATATCGCAATAAATACTTTATCTCTGCATAAAGGCTTGCTTCAGAACCTCAATATTACGATGTTCATGGCATACTCATCTCATACCATATCGGAGATAAATATTTCATCGTATAGAGAAGAGGGGATTAAGATACAAAAATTGCATGGTCCGGAACGTAAAGGGTGAGGCTTTGGTTTTGGAGCAACAATTTCTAAAATTGCGGCAAATGGTTATCAGATCAGGTGCAAGTGAGCCCCGAATCAAAATTCTACATCCTGCCGGTCAAAAATGATAAAAATGAACATGAAAAGGGAGTTTTGAAACTAAAAATTATAAACTCATTGAAACCGAAGCCAAATTCGTCTTTATGAGTTTAAGGAAAATCCTGAGACTGCTCGGTCGGTCAAATAATTGAAGGACCGTGGCCTTAAAGCTTTATTCAAGCCATGCACCGCGTTCTATCCGCATATAGTCCGGCAGTTCTACTCTAACATGTTTTACTCATGCACGGAGCCGAAAGTGATTAAGACAACCAAGGAGCGATAGCAATTGCCGAGGCAAAAAGACAAAGATTATGCAAATATTAAAAATGAATTAGAGAAAACAGAGAAGGCGACAAAAAGAAACAGAGGAAGAAGGTTATACGGCGTGAAAAAAAGAAAAAAAAAAAAAAAAAAAAAAAGAGCAGAAGAAATCAAATATGAAATGATGAATGAGATAAAAGTTGAATATAAAAATAGCTTTTATATCTCAAGAAGTAACTCAAGACATTTCACTATACAGAGAAACAACAGTAACCTTTCATCCTCGCAATAAACCCAAGAAGTATAGCAAACTCAACAATTGAGGGCAGAGTTGGCATTCGATGGAATAAATTAAACCCAAATGAAGCTAGTAGCAGAAACAGGTGACAATGGGTTTAGACAGAGAACAGAAACAATACAAGTACCTCTTGAAGACAAGAAAGTACCGGATCGAACCCTTGACCTGTCCGAAACCAAGATCAAACTGGTCGCAAGGTGATCTGGTAATACAAGTAACTTTTGGGAAGTAATCATGGTATATTGATGGACTCTCTCACCTGGGTTAGGCACAGATCAAGATCCGATTGCACTGTAAATCGAATACCGAATCATGAGTTCAAAGCTTCGACTCATATGGGTCTTTTTTCACATACAGCCGTCAAAAGAATATGATAGGAAGGGAACCCTAGAGGGAGAAAGAGAGCCCAAGGGAGAGATGGGGAAAGAGAGACGAAGTTGCTCGTCTGGAGTCAAGAGACAGCATTTCTTAAATAGAGATAAAAAGGGTTTTGCATCTCCCCATATTAAACTAGATACTTAGAAAGATGAATAATTTAAAATTTTTCTACAAAAAGTTAGTGTTATTATCATAACTAGATAATTTTCTTTTACCAAAGTTTAACACTTTGAATTATATTGTTCTTTTCTTTTTTATTTTTTAAAAAATTGGTATATATTTGTATTATATAAGACTTGTATGGGACTGAATGGAACATTACATTTTTTTTATTTTTTATTTTTTATTTTTTTTGTCTAAGGCAAAAACAACCACAACACAAGAAACCAAAAGAACCACAACCTACTAAGACCCACCCTCTGCCACCACAAAAGGGACGATAGAAGGAAGAATAGAAGACAACCACATATCGGACATAATCCCAGACCGCAAAAGAGCTGCCAAAGCATGAGCCACCCGATTACCCTGACGACGCACATGAGTCAATTGAGTGGCTTGAAACCGTCGTAAGTCGCGAGCGATATCAAAACAAATAGAAGCAATTTCTGACGGGCAAGACAGCTGACATAACACCCCGTCCACCACAACTTTAGTATCCAATTTAAACCATGCAGAAGAGAAATACAAATTAATAGCGCAAAGAAGCGCACGCTGACAAACCAACGCTTCTGCCTCTAAAGCTGAAACAGTAGAGAAAGGACGGAAAATAACTGCACGAAGCATTGCACCCCTAACATCCCGGAAAACAGCAGCGCCACCCCCTTGCGAAGACTGCCTACAAAAAGCCGCATCAAAATTACACTTAACAAAACCCGATGGAGGGGGACTCCACGACTCCACCAACGCACCAGCCAACTGAGGTTGCACTGAAGAGCAGAGGAAACGAGCATCATGAAACTCCCAAAAACTAGCAACAGCCTTTTGCACCACAACCTCCGGCCGCCATAAAACCCCCTCAAAAACCAACCGATTCTGGGCTTTCCAAATACCCCAGACACAAAAGGAGATCAGGCTAAGAACATTCGCAAAATCCGAGGAGACCATAGCCTTGTGCACCAAAAAACGCCAGCCAACTTGGAACGAAGAAAAAGACAAAGCAGAAAAATCAAAGCGCAACGGAGATAACTTCCACACCTGAAAATAATGAGGGCAAGAAAAAATAAGATGCACCACGGACTCCTCCTGTAACCCACAGCAAGGACAAAGAGGAGACACCGCACACCCGCAAGCTAGCAACGCAACACGAACTGGCAAGGCATGAAAACAACATTGCCAAAGGAAGTGTTGCACCTTAGACAGTGTCCAGCAGCGCCAAATAGAAGACCAAGAACCAGTAGGAGAAGCAACCCCCAAAAAAGAAGTCCCTGACATGGCCAACTGATAAGCCGATCGCACCGAAAACTTACCCGACCGCTCAAGAGACCAAATGATCTCATCCGGTTTATCTCATCGACTAATGTGAATCTTAAGAATTTCCTGCACCGTAATGGGTGAGAAAACTTGAGAGAGAACATCCAGCTTCCACGAAGACGTAACAGGATCAATCAACTCTGCCACTGAAGAAAAGGGAGTTGGGACCTGGGGTGGTGGCAGTTTGTGAGGAATCGTAAGGACCCAATGATCATTCCAAATATCCGTGGATAGGCCATTTCCAATCAACGATCGAACTCCCTGACATAACAAGGCCTGAGTAGACCAAATACTACGCCATCCCCAAGAAGGATTATAACCCAAAGGAGCCTCCAAGAACGACGAAGAAGGAAAATACTTTGCTTTGAAAAGCTGATACAGCAGTCCCTGTTTACGGACCTGAAAATGCCAAGCATGCTTAGATAAAAGAGCCAAATTAAAAGCCTCCAAATCGTGAAACCCTAGACCACCCGTCTGTTTATTCCGGCACAAAAATTTCCAATGAAGCTAATGAATTGCCCGAGATTTATCTTTAGAACACCACCAAAAAGAATGAATATACTTCATTAAATCATGACACAACGTAATGGGTAGCTTAAAGGAAGACATAACATACTTAGGCAAAGCACTCAACACTGCCTTAATTAACACCTCTTTCCCACACGTAGACAGAGCTTTCGCTTTCCAAAAAGATAACCGGTCCTGGATTTTAGTTAAGAGGAAGTTAAAAACATCCCTCTTGGAACGTCCCAAAATGGCCGGCACCCCAAGATGTCGACTGTGAAAACCCGACAACGGCAAACCCAAAGCATAACTAAGAGATTGCCTCAATGACATAGGAGCATTACGTGAGAAAAAAACTGAGGATTTAGTAAAATTCACCTGTTGCCCAGATGCCCACTCTTAATCAGCCAAAATGCGTTTCAACACCCCAACTTCTGCTGAATCAGCAGCACAAAACACAATAGAATCATCAGCAAAAAACAAATGAGACACAGACGGTGCTCCCCGACAAATACAAACTCCAGATTACAATCGAGCATCCTGGGCCCGCCAAATAGCCAGCGAAAGAGCTTCTGCGCAAATAATAAACAAATATGGGGAAAGAGGATCGCCTTTATGCAAACCCCTGGATGGTTGGAAAAAACCCACCGAGTGCCTATTAATTTTCAAAGAGTTAGAGATCGTGGAAATGCAGGCTGAGATCATTTGAATCCAATGATCATTTAAGCCTAACCAGGCCAGCATATGAAGTAAGAAATCCCACTCAACTCTATCATAAACTTTACTCATATTCAGTTTCAACGCTAACCATGCCTTACTTCCCTTATGCTTATTTTTCAAATAGTGTAAAATTTCATGTGTAATTAAAATATTATCAGTAATATGACAACCTACAACAAATGTACTTTGGGAAGCATCGATAAAGGAATCAATAATCCATTTCAAGCGGTTAGTTATAATTTTCGCAACAATGCGATAAGACACATTACATAACGAAATGGGGCAGTAATGACTAACCTGCGTTGGAGAGGGAATTTTAGGAATTAAAATAATATTGGTACGATTAAAACTAGTCAGCAAATTACCAGTAGCAAAGAAACTAGAGATTGCCCCAACAATGTCCCGTTTAAGAACCTCCCAATATTTCTGATAGAACAACGGGGTCATCCCATCCGAGCCAGGAGCTTTCAATGGTTGCATAGAAAAAACTGCCTGCTTCACCTCTAACTTTGTCGGGGCCAACAACAAATCAGCATTCATCGCATCAGAGATCCGGACCGGCACATACCGCAAAAATTGATCAATATTCGAAGGAGAAGAAGACGTAAACAAATCCTGAAAATAAGTCAGAAAGATCGACTGAACGGCATTCTCCTCAACCACCCAGTGATTCCCAGTATCAAAAACCCCGGAAATGGTATTGCGGCTTCTCCGCCTTTTAGCAATGACATGAAAAAAGTTAGTATTACGATCCCTCTCTTATAACCACAGGAGACGAGACTTCTGTTTCCAATACAATTCTTCTTCTAACCAGCAAGACATTAAAGAATGTTCCAATTGAACCACTTCAGCATGACAGTAAGTAAAAGTGCGAGCTCGCAACTCGCGAAGCCGAGCAACCAAACAATCAATTTGAGCTCGGGAATTAAGATTACGCAGCTTTGCCTAATGAATAAGATCAGCTTTACAATGCCGTAATTTCTGAGTCCACTGAAATTGAGCTGAACCATGGATCGGAGTAGACCAAGCGGAATCAATAATCTGCCGACAGTCATCCGAGAGAGTCCAACGAGCATCAAACTGAAATTGCCGTTTTCGAGCCCGACGCTCAGGGATAGGCGTCAAAAGTAAAGCATAGTGATTAGAACCAATCACAGAAAGATGGGATAAGGTAGCTCAAGGAAAATTAGAAAGCCACTCCTTAGTCACCAACGCTCGATCCAACCGTTCTTGAATATTAACAGACCCGTCCCACTGGTTAGACCATGTAAAAGGAAAACCCTAATACCCAAGATCTACTAAAGCATATCAATCAACCAGTGTACGAAAAGACCGAAGTTGCCACTGAGGCCTAACCCGGCCCCCATGCTTTTCAGAATTATGTAAAATATCATTAAAATCCCCAATAATAATCCACCGAGACGACCAATAACAAGAACGACGAATAAAATACTCCCATTGCGCAGCCCGGTCCCTATCAACAGTACTGGCATAGAGAAGAGAAAAATACCAAGGAACCTGATTGGGAGACAGAATAGCAATAGTAATAGAGAAAGAATTTTTTTCCACCACCCGGAGGTGAACATTATCAGTCCATCACAGAGCAAGACCACCAGCAATCCCTTCCGGTTCAACCAATCACCCATGGGAAAAACCCAACACCCGTTGCACAGCCAAAATCCGCCGCAATGATTTTGTTTCAAGAACACCAAGAATATCCGGACAATAGTTAAGTTTTAAACACTTAAGTTGTTGAACTGTGGAAGCAGACCCCAAACCGCGACAATTCCAAACAATAATATTTGGTTGCACAGTATGAGAATCAGAAAAACACACCAGTTGAGCAGTAGAAGACGAAGCATAAGAAGTAATGGAATGTACCGTACTGGAGGCCAGAGGAGAGTGGGAAGAAGCTGCTCGGTGAGCAGGTATAAGGCCAGAAGCCATAATTGATAAAAGAAGTAGCCAAACCAAGATAAAAAGTAATACAAACCCATCACCCAGGCCCAAAAACACAGCCCAGACCACAAAGAGCGGCCCAAAACTAGCAGTCCAGGTCAGAAAGAGAGGCCCAAAAAGAAAGAGCCACACAACACCACGTGTGCACATCCCAAAAAGCAAGCCCCCGACAACCCACAGACCGGACCAACCACACTGCCAGCAAGCAACACCACCAGGGGCGGAGCCAGGATTTTAATTCAGAGGGGGCGCAGTGTAAAAATATATATATATATATATATATATAATTTAAATAAGAAGAAAAAAAAATACATACTATATATATCATTCTTAAGTGCAAAAAGAAAAATGTTTAAGAAGTAGGGGGCCAAAAAAAAATTAAGAAGAAGAAGAAGAAAAAGGGAAGAAAAATGATAAATTTGAAAGGGAAAAAAAAATATAGAGAGTTTGAGTACAGAAGGAAAATTTAACTTTTTTTAAGGAAATCAAAGGAATATTAAGGCAAAAGAAAAAGGAAAGAAAAATTTAAAAGATAATTTTAGAAATTTAAAATTTTAGGGGGGGCATTATATAGAAATTTCCTTATAATTATACAAATTAAAATAAAAATTACTATATTTTATAGTAGGCGGGGCCAGGTCAGGAGGGGCATGTGCCCCCTTTGGGCACACACTAGCTCCGCCACTAAACACCACCGCACAAACCACACCAACCGATTGCTACAAGCACCCCAAAAAGTAGGGAACAAGAGACCTAAACACTGCCCCAACACAGCAAAACACAAACCACTCAACAATCCACAAATCAGCTCAAACCAAAATCTCGACTGACAAACCCCAAGCATGGAACGAACACCACAATTCAGTGCAGCTGACAAACCCCAAACAACCAACCGTACAAAACAGAACAAGCAAACCCACCACAGCACCAACGCGAAGAGTCAAACAACAACCCTTGCACACCGCTGAAACAAAAAATGAAGAAGCACACACCCTCACGATCGGAGGGAACTCTCACACAACGGAGAGATAAAGGAACTCTCACACTTTTTAAACCAATTTGAGCACCTCCAACATGTTCTAAAGTCATCTCAATCAGTTCTAGAGCATTCTAGAACAAGTACATCCGGTATTAGAAAAGCCCAACTTGTTATGTTGTATTCTGAAATTGCTTCGAAGTATATGCAAAGATCCAATACTTGACTTTCTGGACTTTATTAAGTTGTCAAACAAATTTGCAATTGAGAAAATAGTGTATCTTTGGAAAAGTTGGAAAGATTATGGAACATATTAGTCTAAGTGTCTGATGAGATATCTCGAATGTGTCGTGGTTAAATAATCAAATTAATACAAATTATATTTTACTTATCAAAAAAAAAATACTAATACAACTTATTTTTAAATTATGAACTATATAAGACTTGTATGGGACTGGACGGAACATATTAGTCTAAGTGCCTGATGAGATATCTCGAATGTGTAGCGATTAAATGTCCAAATTAATATAAATTATATTTTATTTATAAACAAATAATAATAATAATACAAATTATTTTTAAATTATGAACACGTCACAGACATGTCCAAAAAGTGTTATATAACACCTTCATGCTTTTTAGACTTTTCTCAATTTAATCATAGTTGTGAACGTTTTTGTAACCCAACCAATGGGTGGATTTCTCCACATTGTTCTAGGGAGTCTGATCGGTTGGTCAATTAAACATCAACCTTCGCAATAGCACGAATCATTGTAAAATAGGGCTATTGGTCGGGTAAGTC